GCAATATATGGCATAACAAAGTAACAAGAATGCAAAACTATTTAAAACCAGTGGAGAAAAATTTTCCAAGGATGTAACTTCTGACTCTTATGAAATATATCACTTGGCTTTGTGTTTTCACCTGTGCAAGTACTTTGCAATGGCCGATTGTTTTAAATCACTGTACAGAACTTCCTACCCAAACACCCTGAATGTCATAGCTATGAAAGTGTTTTCTCCTGCAGATTTACACTCCATCTTCCCTGGTCACATCATCTCAGCACCCGCTGTCTGTCCCTCAGGACCCCTTTGGAATACCTGCAGGTCCTTCCCACATCCCTGCAACCACTCTCAAGTGGTTTCTTCCTCAGTCCTTAACCCTTCTTATTTTTGGGAGCTCCCAACTAGAACTGCAACATGATGTGGCTAACTGTGGTCAGCCTGCACATGCTGGGTAGCTCAACACTTAAGAGGACCGCTCAACTGAAGAACTCCCCCCACACTGAAGACATCAATCAGTTTCTTTGTAATTTTAAGTGCTCAGTAGTCAGCACTGAAAAGTTTTGAGGGTGAATTTAAGGGCAGGCTTTAAAACTCGCTTTCTTTGGCTGAAAAACAGAGGCACATGGGTGTTGATTTCAGTATCAACATCACTACTACTGGATTTTTCCATTCTTCCTCAGGACTGTTTGTCAAACAACCTATAGCTAATCACTGAATTATCATGGCCCACTACTGAGTAATTCTTAGGTTTCCATCCTAAAGGAATATTCCTACAGTTCTATCTGAGTTCACAGTTTGGAAACTCTTCTAATATTTGTCAATCATCACTAAGAATTTGGTCTCACAGCTGCTTGTGTTCACTTTGGACCTATGGAAAGGAGGAATTTGCAGTGACCAGTTTGAAGCAATAGGAAAGAGCCCTTCAGGATTCTTTTGAAGACTTTAATCTTCATCTAAGATATTGATAAGACTTTTGTTGGTATAGAAAGCAGAAACATATCTTTTGCAAGAAAACCAAGATTTGATCTTGAAGATGAGATTTGCCAAACCAATATAATGGTTAGACTGCCTACCCATAGAAACCAATTATTATAGATGAATGTTTGATATTGAAACTAGTTTTGTGGATCCTTACACTCAGCTGTAACTGCTGTTTGAAGGAAGTATCCTCAGAACTGTTTTGGCACTCATTTGGTATCTCTTGGCTTGAATGAGGTAAAAACTATCATTGCCTAGAGTGCTGGTTTTTAAGGTTACCATATTTTTGTTCTATTGAAGACTATGTTTGCATAATAAAACAGATACACAAAGCAACTGCAGTAGGAGTGTTCTGAACATATACAACATGTATTTTTCAGAAATACACATTTCTAGAGTTTCCTATGTGATATCTGTACGAAGAGTAGGGTTTATGCCATTGAAGTTATGACTGTTAATTATGCCAATTTAATACTTATCATTTATTATTATTTATTACTCCCTTATGTAGGGGAACCCAAGAAAGTTTGAACCTAGGCAGACATACAAGGAAAGGAATAAAACCACTTACTACAATGAAAAACCTATTTTCCAACCTAAACCCCAAACTCCTTGCAGGCTTGGCAAGCAGAACATGCTAGAGGTAGGTCAAGACAAAACTACAGTTAAAGAAGCCAATCTGACTGAATTGTAATACAGTCCTGATAGGAGAAACACGTTATAGATCTAAAAATCCATATTTAATCCAAGTTCTCCAGTTTCTGCCTGCCTTCAGTGTGGCCCTTGTTTGCTAACACCAAAAAAAAGTATCCATTCACATAACTTACCCATATTGACCAAGACTCCATACCATAATTTCAATATCAGGCAGGAATGCTCAGTGAAGGCAGAAGTAAGTTGTTACCATTTCTGATTAAAAGGTGGGATTTTTCCAGATAGTACCTGGCCTCTTTGTTGTAAAAAGATATTAATTCTGCCTTATTTAGAATATAATTCTTAGATCTATAAGTTTACTTATTTTACTACTGAATTTCCCACAAAAAATCCTGTATTTTCTAGAAAAAATAAAATGGTATGTTTCAAACAATTAATATACAGAAGTAAATTTTTAAACTGCAAACATTTAATTGCTACAACAAAAATGCTGTCATATCAATGATAAATTCAGATAAAAACCTGTAATTGCATTCTGGTTTTCACAGTGCATAGAAACACCAAGGCAAAATACAATAAACAGTATCTTAGCAAGGGAAATATTTATCAGTCTTCAGCTCTTATAGTCAATCACTTAATGCTTATAACTTCCCCCCCTTTTTTTTTTTTTTTTTTTATTTAATTTGGACTTTAACTTGCAGTTGTTAAAGCTGCAAAATAAAACATAAAAAAAACCCCAAAGTATAGATCAGGCCAGATTTTGTCCCCCATCTCTAACAAAACAGCCAATACTAGGAACTGAAAATATCAGAAAGTCATAAGAACAGTAAAAGAGATAAATAAAGGAAGGAAATTAAATCTATTTTACTGTATTTCTTTATCTATGTTCAAAGAGAAATGACCAGTTTGAGGAATGCCATTTAAATGTTTCTTCCTTTTGCTTCCCTACGGAGTTTGCAAATGCTGCCTGTTTTTCCTTACATTTTTGCTAAGAGAAGAAATTATTTTCAAGACTTTACTTTCCCCTTTCTTAAAATGGAAGTTTTATTTTTCTTTTGCATTAACAAGCAAAGGTAACTAATGTAATCAACTGTTTTTCTATTAGCTACACATTTTTCAATTGCTGAATGCATAATGTAACTAAGTGGTACATTTAAATGATGACAACTAGCTCTAAGGCAGTATCATAAGTCCTTGTTACACTGCTGTTATTTTACATACAAGAGAACTAGTGGTATTCATGTTGCTTTAGCCTATTACCCTGAAAATTTTAGCTGCTCAAGACCACCTCTGTGCTCTGAGAGGAGTTTAAGCAACAATACAGTATGCTCAAGTAGTAAAACTACTAACTAGACAGGATATATTAAGAACCATATGGATATATTTATGAAGTTTGTGTTCTGTATAAACTATAATTTCAAAACTGGTTTTGCAGCCCTCAGTTTGTGTAAGTGTAAGGAATTACTTCAGTTATATTCTTGCTTCTTTCATCTACTCTGAAATACTGCTGAAATCTGATCTCTATAGTATTTGTTTAGCCTATTTATACAGTATAGTAGCACAGACATATGGCAGGACATTTTAAGAAAATTCTTAAGTATCCAGAATATACCTGTATTTCTTTCTCATTTAAATGAAGCTAAAAAAAGTTAAAATGAAGACATATTACTGTTCAGAGTAAACTGCAAAACTGTTAATGTTTCATTTAAATCATGATAAAGACTTCCCTTTGATAATTTCTTTGGTAAAAATGGCTGTGTCACATTTGCCTCATTGGCAAGTAAAAGGCATTTTCTTTGGTGGAAATACTTTTTTGATCTTTCAAGTCCAGCTTTATAACATTTAGCTAATAGGCCCATCCTACATTACCTGTTTGTTCAGTGAATGCAAGGCCATTTCCAATTTAGAACATAAAACCCAAATAGATCAGTCACAGGACAACAGAAAGTCTTACCACATAAAAACCATCTTTCATAGCAAAATGACAAACAGTGTTACAGACAGCAAAGGTCTAAATGCAGTATATCAGAATACATTATCATCTGTATAAAATAAGCAGTTTCACAGTTATTTCAAAAGCATCTTCTCATAAGTGTAGAGGAGTTTACGTAGAAGCATAGTGGATGTTTAAAATGCATAGCTGCGTATGTCTTCTGTAGCTTTGTGATGATTTCCACTTCTGTTGCCTTAAATCTCCTGAATTAAAAAAAAGAGTAAAAAAATTTCCTTAAAACATATATTCTACTATTTTGCTGCTTAATATTTCCCATTATTTGTTTGAAAATAAACTTCAGTCCAGTTGACATTTTAAAATTTTTTTGAATGGTCTAATTTGCAAATCTGAACTTAGTGATTCACCAAGTGTCATGTGCCAAGAGGACTTTACAAGAATGGGATAAATCCTCAGGAACTTAAGTCATAGCAATCAACAAGTACAGTAAAACGCAGGAAACAGAAACTCTTGGAAAGTATTTGTTCTTGATTGTTTTCTGATTTGTTATTCTCTTTATGTGAACTTTACCTGATACCTTTTCTTTCTCTTCTTTAAAACACATGGTATGGAAACTATCCTCCTTCAGGTAGATGGCTTGTGATGAGGAGAAAACAGTACCAGCAGTGACATGAATGCAAAGTCACTCACACCTCTCATCTTGATTTGAGAGATTGGGGAGCCAGATGCAGAGGGTGAGTAACAAAGGGAAATAACTAGTGTGTAGGACTGGTTCTCAACTGACAAGACCATCCTCCGCCCAGTATTTCCAGCTGGCATAAGTGGAAGCAGCCTGTAATTAGACTGTAAAGAGGGCAGAGAACAGGGAAGTTTATTATATAGCTTCCACAGGGCTACATATCCTCTGTTTCTTTCTTCTACCACTAATCCTTTCAGTCACCATCGATTGAGCTCTGCCTTCTTTCCTAGAGGCCTATAATCCTTTGTTTCACATCTTTGGTACTGTGACATTCCCCACTTGCTATCACCTTGTGTTCGTCCTTCATAAACTCACTCGACACCCAAAATACAGTCGAAAGACTAGGATTTTGGATACATCAATTCCTATGCACCTCAGCACCTACCCAGGCATTCATAGAAAGGTTTCATCATCAGGACTTGAGCAATTAAGCAGGTTAATTTGGGTCCTATTTTAAGGATTGAATGGGTGAACAGAACTATTAAACCACAATGATGACAGCGTTTGAGTTAAAAGGACTCACTTTCTTGCTGATACTACATCATGAAAGATTATATATTGTTTTATCTAAACAATGATTCTATTACTATGCTGTTCTCACACTGAAAAAGGATTGTGATGGCACAGTGGATTTGTTTGTTAGGCTGCTCAAGAGAAAAGTAAACTCTGGTCTGTTTCATCTTTCTTACCTTTTTGGGAATCAGATTAAATTTTCCTGTGCCTAGCACTGCTGTTTTCCAGACCATTGCTTTCTTCTGATTTACTATAAGAAAGAAAGGTTGAATTCCAAGACTCAGCTTTTAAGTATAGGATTAGCACAGTCATTCCAGGCCCACAATCCAACCAAAGTACTTATAATGTTATGTGGTAAAAGAGAAAATCAATCACATTTTATAAGAAAAAAATAAGATTAAGCAAAATTTAAGCAACCAAAATACTGACTTTTGAAGTCTTTCAGCCAAGAAGTCTTTCAGCCCAACTCAATCCCCCAAAAAGTTCTGGGCAGAAGTTATAACAGTGCTAGCATTACTGGAAATGACTGCCATACTATAATTTCATTCAGTGTATAGAATTTGTAGATAAAGTGAATGCTCAAATAATATACAAGCAATATACAGCTCCACATCCTCAGAGCATAGGGTAAAACACTCATATGATTACTCCTTCCAGCATACCTACAAGTAGCTATATGGTGTTGGTCACAGTCAAGACTTAAATTAACAATTATCTTGCTAAACAATTTTGTTTCTGAATCACTAGCCTCCCACCTAATACCTTGTTGGCTGAGACATTTTAATTATAGTCTCATCAACCATTTTCAGCTGTATTAGCCATCACTTGACGTAACAGCCCAGAAAAGTTCTTTTGGAGCCATTCTCCCTGGTACACAGATGTATATTCTGAACAGCCAGTAGTTGAAATAACTTTCAGTTATTGAAATCAGGCAAGAAGTACATGGTTTAACAGATTTTTTTTCTCATATGTGTTTATCTAAGATAGAACTTCAAAGTAAAGACCAAGCAGCTGATCAAAACCATATTTCACATCTCATCAAGTATGAAACCATTTGAGTGCGCCACACTGCATTACAATCCTATTGCAATAGAGTTTCAGCATGTTTATAAGAAGCAGGGCTGTGCAACAAGGGCAATTATTCAATTTTCAACCCAAGACATATCCCAAACACTAAGCAGTATAATAGCATATATACCCCCAAGACATATCCCCACTTTATAGTATAATTGAATTACAGCTTTAAAGCTGTTTAGATATGGGGAAAAGCACTAGAATATCTTTTCAGCTAGCACTGGAAAACGAAACGGGAAAGAATACAACACAGGGAAACAAAGGTCACTGCAGCAAGAAATTCAAAGAGGGAAAAAACAGCATTACTCAGACAAAAAAAAGGAGGGGAGAAGAGACTGAGGGGAAGAAAACTGGAGTAGACTGCACACATCTGAAAAGAGGAACTGCTAGGCTGCATCTTAAAGGGGAACTTAATAGGACAAAAAGTGACTGGGCTTCAAAGGATGGGAGAGAAGCATAGCTTATTTTAGCAAGCTTTTAGAAATGTTATGATCCTAAGGCAGAGGGGAGCCAGCACAGGAGTACCAGCCCTCAAGCAGCAGAACATCAACAGAAGTGCCTACACCTGGCACTCTAGCTCCAGCAGTGCAGCCACTCCTGTGCCCAGGGAGCTCAAGCCATCAGCACAGTGAGAGGCCCCCCAGGAAAGGCTGGAGTTACTACCAAAATGGTCAACACCACCAGTTCCCAACACCCCAGAAACCACAGGCTTACCTAGGACAATTAGGGCTTTGACAACATGCAAGTGAGAGAAATGTATGCTAATACAGACAAAATACATATGAGAAAAATTTGAAGGCATCTTTTGTAAAATCTCCACCTGAAAATGGTTTTCCTCATAGTTACAGCCTTTTAGAATGAATTTATAATGAGGACACATGGTGCTCCAAACACCAAAATTGTCAGGTAGAAAACAGCACTCTGCACACCGGAATTAAGAAATCTTAAGGAAAGGAATAAATTGTACTTTCACATTCATCATTACCCCTTACCAGTTTGGTCCACAACAAGGTATAATTTTATACAACACACTAATATGCAAAAGAGTAAATATTTAACTAAAGTATACTAATTCTTTACTTACAGTTGCTCAATTTGGTCAAATTCTTTTTCGGCTTCTGCATAACAGAAAGAGGACTATATAAGGTCTCAATTTAACAAACACCAGAAAAATTCTGTTTAATTACATTAGTTACTCCATGTTTAAGTAAAACAAACTTATTTTTTCCTTTTATTAGCTTTCTTAAATTTGCAAATCAAATTATCTCGTTCCTCTATTTAATGGAACTACCTGCAAATTTACCAAAAAGGTCTACTATGATCAAGTTTTATAACATGATACATATTGAAATCAGATATTTAGAACAAATACAAGATAAATACACATATGCATATATGTTTAACACACACGTGCACAAGTTTAATATTTATATTATATATATATATATATATATATATATCACCTGTTTCACCTTGCAGATCTATTTCAGCTCATCTATGTGTGCCTTAAGTTCAGGAACCAACATTAGTGCATTCTGTTTTAAAGCATTTTTCCTCTTAATTTCTTGATATCAAGTTTCTCCCATCAAGATTAACAGATTGCTTCCATTCCTAAGCATTCTCCAAAAAAGTATAGCCTCTAAAGTCCTTCTTGTAAGGAAAAAAATAAGGACTGTATCAAACCCTTTAAGGGAAAATATTTCTTACTGAAAACACCTTACAACTGAATACAAGACTCACAGAAGAGATTTAAAAATCTAAAATACAGTTTTCTAGAACAAAGTATTTTATCACAAAAAAATTAAATATATGAAAAATCACAGTAAGCTTCATATATGAAGTGTTATGGGTCATACCTTTCTAACTTTGGCTTCAATTTCAATGGAAAGCTAGAAATGACTGAAAAATTACTTACCTGAACCCTTCTCTTTCTTTTTTGAATACATCTCATAAAGGAAAATAATAGTTACTAAAATAACAACTTCAGCCACAATTGCTAGAGAGGGTTTGAGAGGCACCATGAGGGACAGGACTTTAAGCTTCAGCTTTCCTTTACTTTTCCCTAAATCAAAAGCTGCTTCACACCAATATACACCATTGTCTTCATTGGTGAGCTTCAGTATCTTCAAATGGGTTACATTGGCAGATATTCTATTAATTACATACTTGTTTGCCAGCAAAGTGTCATTAATGGCAATCTGAAAATTAAAAATACAAGTCTTATTAATGCAATGAGAAAGTGTTTAATCAAATTATTTATATTATCAACAGACACGTCTATACAGAGAGATGTAAAATGAATTAAGAACAAGTGGTGAAGCATGTTTAGTTTACCTCCAAAGGAAGGATTTATCCTAGCCGGCCACCCTGGTTCTCTTTACATTCAGTGAAAAAAAAAAAAAAAAAAATGCACTTGTAGTGAGCAAGTTGTCTGATTTGTTTTAGTCTAAGACCAGATAAAAGGTACCCTTGACTACTGACACTTCACTCAAAGGCAGCCTCAGTTTTCAGGATCTAATGTCCCGGTTTCATCAAGGCACAAAGCATACAACTTCCAAGGAAGCTGAACTGGGAATGCTGCTTCAGTGGGAAATATGTTTCAGGAGTATTGAGGAGACAGATCTATTTAATTAAAGTTGATAGTGCTTTCCACAGAAAAGGGCTAGAACAAAATGCCTATTCTTCCAAGGCTAAGGGGGAACCCAAAAGGTGGGTATGTGAAGGAGGGCAACTGCTGAGCAAGATTTTCCTCACAGCCTTTAAGGCAAGTGCTTAAATGATTTCAGCTCCTTCAGAGTCAAGTGGCACAACAGTCTCCAGAACAGGATGACCTCCTTCAGGTTCAGTGCCCCAGAGAGATCATACAGGTTGGGAAATACAGAATTACTCTGTACCTGGAGAAGGAAGAAAAGAGAACATGGTCCTGTTCTCCCTCAAGCATCCAATACCTTACATGTCTTTTCAAAAGAGTGTCCTGCTTTTTTTTTTTTTTTTTGTAAGATTTGAGAAATATAACCATCATTAACATCACCAAAACAACTATCTCAAGACTTGCCCGATTTGTTTTACTCTTATCTGGGCTATAAAAGTACAAATGGTAAGGGGTTTTTTGGAAAAGAGACATCATACAAACCAGAACAAAAACTGCATCCCTGTAATAATTAATACTTCTAAATACCACAGATTTTTTTTCCATGTACAGAGATTCACATTAACTTTAATGGAAATCCAATTTGTAGAGCCAACAGTGAAAAATCAATATATTTTACAAAGTGTCTGTACTTGGTTTTGCCATGTTGTTTTGCTTGGCCAACAGATCGAAAACTTACCTGTTCACTTCCATTGGTCATATACCAGGTCCAAGCTATGGGAGTATAGCCAAAACTTTTACAAATCATTACAGCTGTATCTCCTTCATAACTGACTATGGGTTTTTCTTTTCCTTCAATTTTTGGTACTAAAAAGAAGTAGGAAAAGTTCATCAAGTGAGAGCTACTGGTTTTAATTTCAGTATTACAAAAAGATAAAACCGATTTAGATATAGATTTATAGTATTCACTTCCTTTTCCCTTAAAAAAACCTTCTTTTATAATTAAGACAAAACCACAGATTGAGGGAGCTTTGTAGCTACAAATATTTTCTGAGCTGAAGTAATGACTTGTGTGCATGCCAACAAAAAGGACTTTTGGTCCAATCTTGCTAAGGACAGAACATGGTCACAAGAAATAAGACATATAAATTTATAACTTTAGAGCTACTTATCCTAGCTATTTTAAGTGCAGATGCCCCACAGCCTTCCAAAAGTAAAAGCCCCAAAAAGGTTGAATACATTGCAGCATCCCACAGATAGAGCTGAACATATACATCACATATTTTCCCTGCTTCCTTCTCTTCTTCTTTATTATACTGTTTACCAGCATGTTTTCCTGAGATCCATCTATTTTAAGTTTTACTTCAAGTTTCATTGCTCTATCTTGTAATTAAAGATCCTTTACGTCTTTTAAATTATATTGGTCACACTAGACCAATCAGGCCAAGAATTTGCTTTCAGGAGTTACGTTTGAACAATTTGGTATAAACATAAGAAAAGCAGGATGAAAAAATATTGGAGCGTGTGAAAACAAAAACCTTTATACCCAGCACTACAGATTTATATGGTAGCCAAAAAAATTTAGGCAGGCTGATCAGTAGTAAAGCACAGCTATAAGCATATCAGCAACACATGTGAACACAACTGCCATGATTAAGGACATGAATATACATCATGAGTTCTGGGATCTGGCTCTAACAGAATCCTGCATGCATGCAAGGAAGTAATATGCTTTGTCCCAGGTGTTTCTGCAAGTAGATCACCCAGAATTTGGTGACAAAACACTGCTACTGCACAGAAAAAAAACTGCTGAAGAGATAAACAGACAGATGATTGCAACAGCATTTACACCAGTCACATTTCCACACTGGTTTAAAGACAAGAGTTGTTTCACAGCACATACACCTGGACAGCTGCTTAAGGATCCCTTAACAAAGGCCAAATGCAAATTAACTTGTTCCACCCTTTAATATCACTATTAGAAGACTTCATACCATTTAAAAATACCCATGAGTAATCTCCATGTTTGATAATTTGAACTTCCTATGAGCATAGCTAGGTAAAAGCTTAACTCCTCAAAATCTGCAGGGTTATGCCATGCCATAACAGGGGGGATGAGGAGAGGTGACATATCCAATAAAGCCTAACTGCCTAGTGGAAAAGCTATTGCAGTTAGTTACAGCAGTGATGACTTTAGCCACTGAGCCTATACCAATGCATTACTCATCTTTCAGTTTGAGAATTGTTCTCTCTGCATTATTGACTGGAAGATTCAAGGACTCCTCCTTCCCATTTCCCTCACTCTTGCATTAATCTTAAAAAGCGTCAAGCCAGTACCTTTTATAGCATCAGAAGTGGCAGCATTCAACTACTGTGAAGCAATTCTCCCTCGTTCTTTTAATGAACCAACAACTCCTATGCACTGTTCTGGAAAAGATTACTTCCCTATTGAGTCATTCCTGCCCCTACTGAAATAGTTATTGTACACTTTCAGAAGAATAGGGTGTCCTCTGACTTTTTTTAATCTAAACAGACTTGGGTAGCCACTCCCTAAACCTTACCCACATGCAGACAAAAACAATACATAAACATTTTTAGAGATTAAAAGGTCTGAATAAACTACAATATTGTCTGTCTTCAGTCTTGCAGGCTCATCTTCCCTGGTTGAAAGTTTGAAAGCAGGTATCAACATCACTATTGAAGATTTGAACATACACATCTCCTCAAGTCATATGACCAGATATCCCACTGCACAAAGGCAGCTTGCAGCACTGAGGATTACAAAGGCCTGCTGGTTAGTTCAGCTGAGGTCAGGGTAGTTATTTGAAGAGGTAGGGTTTTTAAGGAGCCTGTGTTCAGGTTGAAACTTTCTTATATATCAGAGTCTGTGAAATTTTCACGGGTCAAAGTTGGCCATGCTCTTTGCAAAATTCAGATGGTGGTTACCAGGCAATGATTATGAGAGTTTCTGGGCTGTTGTACCAGCAATGACCCTCACCCTGCTATCACAGTGGAGGTAAGGGACAGAGACATGCAGCACAACAAAGATGCAAGGGATATTGATAGATCAGTAACCATGGTAACATCTGTGAAAGGTCAGACCGGACTTAGGACTTCTAAATGTGCCCATCTGAAGTGCATGTATACCAATGCACACAGAACAGGTAACAAACAGGAGGAGCTTGAAACCATGATGAAACAGGAAAACTATGATGTTGTGGCTATTACAGAAACATGGTGGGATGTCTCCCATGACTGGAGCGTGACAATTGATGGCTACAAGCTCTATAGAAGGGATAGACAAGGAAGGAGAGGTGGTGGAGTAGCACAGAATGTCAGGGACTATTATGATTGCTTTGAGTACAAGTATAGTGAAGACAGGGTGTCTTTGCATTAGAATCAGGGGGAAGGACAACAGATGGATGATGTGGTAGGAGTCTACTATAGGCCACCCACCCAGGACAGAGCAGTAGATAAAATATTCTATAGGTACTTAGGAGAAATCTCATGATTATTTGCCCTGGTTCTTGTGAGACTTTAACTTCCCATACAGCTGCTGGAAATAAAACACAGCAGAGCAAGACCAGTCCAGAGATCCCTGGAATGTGTGGGAGACAACCTCCTGACACAGATGGTGAGTGAACCAACCAGAGAAGGTGCCCTGCTGGATCTCTTCTTTGTGAACAGTGGACTGGTGGATAATGTGGCAGTTGGAGGCCAGTTAGGGCAGAGCAATCATGAAAAAAGAGTTCTTAAAGAGGACAGGAGACAACATCCTGGAAGTTTCAAAGGGCTGATTAGTCACCTGCTTGACAGAATCCCTTGGGAGATGATCCTGAAGGGTATGGGGGTTCAGGAAGGCTGGGTGCTCTTTAAGAAAGTCTGAATGACACAGGAGCAGGCTGTCCCCAGGTGCTGTAAGAGAAGCCAGAGACAGAGAAGACCACTCTGGCTGAACAGGGAGCTTTGGCTGCAACTCAGAGAGAAAAGGAGAGTTTAAGGACTTTGGAAGAAGGGGTAGCCACACACAGTGATTACAGAGAGGCTGTGAGGCTTTGCAGGGTAGAAATCAGGGGGGCTAGCTAGGTCCAGCTAGAAATTAATCCGCCTTCAGAAACCAAGGACAACAAGAAAGGTTTCTATGTCAGTACCAGAAGAAAGACCAGGGATAGTCTCCATCCCCTGCTAGACATGGGAGGAAACATGGTAACAAGTGACAAGGAAAAGGCTGAGGTGCTTAATTCCTTCTTTGCCTCGGTCTTCAGTAACAAGACCAGTTGTACTGAGGGAATCCAGCCTCCTCAGCCAGAAGACAGAGACTGGGAGAACGACCCCCCTGCAATCCAGGAGACAGTCAGTGACCTGCTGCATCACACAGACACACACAAGTCCATGGGACTGGATGGGATACACCCGGGGGTGCTGAAGGAGCTGGCTGGAGTGATTGCCAAGCCACTATCCGTCATCCTGGCTGACCAGGAAGGTCCCAACAGATTGGAACTAGGCCAATGTGACACCCATTTATAAGAAGGGTCAGAAAGATGACCCAGGAAATTACAGGGCTGTCAGCTTTACATCAGTGCCCAGGAAGCTGATGGAGCAGCTCATACTGAGCAGCACCACACAACACTTGCGGGACAACCAGATGTTCAGGCCCAGTCAGCGGGTTTATGAAAGGCAGGTCCTGCTTGACAAACCTGATCTCCTTCTAGGGCCGGGCGACCTGCTTATTGGATGAGGTAAAGGCTGTGGATGTTGTTTACCTTGACTTCAGTAAAGCTTTTGACACCATTTCCCACAGCATTCTCCTGGCAAAAATGGCTGCTCATGGCTTGGATGGGCACAGGCTTTGCTGGGTAAGAAGCTGGCTGGATGGCCGGGCCCAAAGAGTTGTGGAGAACAGAGTTAAATCCAGTTGGCGGCTGTTCACGAGTGGTGTCCCCCAGGGCTTGGTTTTGGGGCCACTCCTGTTTAACATCTTTATTGATGATCTGGACGAGGGGATCGAGTGCACCCTCAGTCAGTTTGCAGATGACCCCAGGCTGGGTGGGAGTGTTGATCTGCTCGAGGGTGGGGAGGCTCTGCAGAGAGACCTGGACAGGCTGGAGCCATGGGCTGAGCCCAACTGCAGGAGTTTCACTAAGGCCAAATGCCAGGGGGCTGCCCTTGAGCCACAACAACCCCCAGCAGCGCTACAGGCTTGGGAAGGAGTGGCTGGAGAGCTGCCAGTCAGAGAGGGACCTGGGGGTGCTGATTGACAGCCGGCTGAACAGGAGCCAGCAGTGTGCCCAGGTGAGCAAGAAGGCCAATGGCATCCTGGCTTGTGTCAGCAATAGCGTGGCCAGCAGGGACAGGGAAGGGATCTGACCCCTGTACTCGGCCCTGGGGAGGCCGCCCCTCGATTCCTGTGTTCAGTTTTGGGCCCCTCACTACAAAAAGGACATTGAATGACTCGAGCGTGTCCAGAGAAGGGCAACGGAGCTGGTGCAGGGCCTGGAGCACAGGTCGTACGGGGAGCGGCTGAGGGAACTGGGGGTGTTTAGTCTGGAGAAGAGGAGGCTGAGGGGAGACCTCATCGCCCTCTACAACTCCCTGAAAGGAGGGTGCAGATAGCTGGGGATGAGCCTCTTGAACCAAGTAACAAGCGATAGGACAAGAGGGAATGGCCTCAAGTTGCACCAGGAAAGGTTTAGACTGGATATTAGGAAGCATTTCTTTCCAGAATGGGTTTTTAGGCGTTGGAATGGGCTGCCCAGGGCAGTGGTGGAGTCCCCATCCCTGGAGGTGTTTAAGAGTTGGGTCAATTTAGCGCTTAAGGATATGGTGTAGTTGGGAACTGTCAGTGTTATGTTAATGGTTGGACTGGATTATCTTCAAGGTCTTTTCCAGCCTTGATGATTCTGTGGGCATAAGGAAGGGAATAGCTCTCATTACAGATGAAGGTTCTCAACAGCTTGCATTTGTTTCCTTTCCATATCTTCCATTCAAGTGGATTTCACCTTCTACAGTCAGGGTCAACATTACTGGAGAAGAGAATACAGAACTGAAGAAAGGGCACTCATACTACCCAGTGAAGTACACTAACACTGAATATAACTGCTGTTCTTTTATTATATGGAATTAAAGATGCACTAAAGCAGTATTTTGTTGTTTCAGAAATACAACTGATTTTTTTCAAAAACCTGCCTCCATTCTGCAAATCATTGTTCCTCTTGTAACACCAAATCTCAGGCCAAACTTTGAAGTCATTGGCTCTGCTTTTAGAAAAATTTATCTGAGACGCCATCCCTTCCTCCCAGCCCCCAGAAAGTGATTTGTATGCATTGCTGCTCTAGGGTAGAAGAGGTAAAGAGAAATCGGTAACTCATTTAGGAAAAGAGTAGCCTTATATGCTCTTTCAGTTGTTAGCAAGTTTTGTTAAAAAGGCTGGGGTTTGCTTCAAAATTCTTTCCTCCATGCTACAGAAATGCCACTGATACTGATTCTCACTTAGCTTGACAATATTACTCACTGTTTATCAAATTAAGTTGCAATTCCCATACTAGCCAGAAACCACATTAATACATTTAAATTGTCAGGTAGAGCAAAAATTTAAAATAAAAGTAAAATTAAATACAATTACCTTGTAAATTAAATACAGCACTGATTTCTTCTTCACCTTTCAGAGTACAGCTGTAACTTCCCAGCTTGCTGTTATCCAAGATCCTCAATCTTAAAAAAAAGTTTCACCAATTTGCTTTTTTTGCTTGTAGGACAAAGGAAAATACAACTATCACTGACTGTTAACTAGCATTCTAAAGAAACCAGAAGACATTAAGAGTAGAGCAGAGACATCCATTGCTGAAACACTAGGATGTGGGTTTAGTGCAATGTAGAAACAGCATGACATTTTTTAAAAAAGCACAACCGCACCTGAGAACAAACATCTTTTTCACCCTTGTTGCTCACAGAAGGCCAAACATCTTTAAGCAGTATGATCTACAGGTTACCTAATTAGACATGGATTCACCATGTTAACTATATAGCATATCATATGTAGGACTTGTGAATATATTATTTACATAATTTGCTCTTTCTAAAGCCAGTCTGTCAATGGCTAATATATCTTCAACACAGAATAGTTTTAAGGAGCTGCCATCTAACAAAGTCCAGCATCTTCTCTGACGGCAAACTATACCTTTCACAAGCACTCTAAAAAAGATTTACATGGTTGTGTTTGTGTATATCGAGAGACAAAAAAGTTAACATTTTCATCACATTTTCTAACATTTTGATGTTAAGAAAGCAAAGCTATACAGAAATCAACCTGGTTAAAATTAACCCATTTATAAATTTTTAAGAGTCCAACAGTAAATTGTATCAAATTAAGAAAAATTTCTACATCATTTCTTGAGTCTCTGTAGAGCTTTGAAAGAGTTAATCTTTAAAACAATCCAAAACACCTTTACTGTAAAGCTAATTTCTTCTCTCTGGTTAATTATAAAGAAAAAAAACCTGCCCATTGATGGTTTTCACACTTCTGCAAAGCAGCACTGAGGTGGAAAAGAGAACATGGATAAAGAAACAGTTATTTTAGCAATCTTAGACTGAGGTTACTACTTCATTACTGAACAGAATTACTGGACTTTTAAAGAACTATGTCCGTATGCTTGTCTTGAAGAAACCTTGCTTTTCCAGCACTACAGGAAGAAGAGGAGCTCTTCTCTCCAGGCTCAAGGCAACTGCAACGTTTTTCCTCTCCTTCAGCTTCAATATGTCGATTATGGTCATATATTAATCACATTTAGCTCATGTGATAAATCATTAGAGCCTGCAAATAAAACTGCAAAGAATGCTACTTACTGGATACTCCAGCTAGTTTCAGTTTTATTGATGTGTTTGACTGTTTCATTTCCCCTCTTCCAAGTCACCTGAAGACTTTTCAAATGAGAATATTTATTGTCCAATCTGCATGAAAGTTCAATTCTAGTTCCACGGTCCAAAGTGATATTTTTTTCCACAGAAGTACCAGAAACACCTGAAAGTTTAAGAAACTGTTTATGAAAAACATTTCTTCATTCTGGAGGAAGAAGAAATTTAAAGATTGTGTTTCACATATGCTGGATTACAAGTGAATGCATTGTGCTGCTGCTATATTTTCCAGGGTAAAACAACTACCGAATCAGACAATCAGTGTTTGACAGTAATTTTCTTAAACTGTAACTGAGTTATGATACACATCCATTACAAAAATGACAGTCACTCCATTCTTTAAGTAAACTTCCTATAGGGACTCTAATACAAAACCACAGATATTCATTTCACTGAAAGCAAGACAGATTTACACTGTAAAATGAACAAGCTTTAGAAAACTCTTTTCTCTTAGGATATTATTAATACTAGGAATAATTAATAAATAGATATGTTTTATAGAGCACAGGTGCTCTAGGAACAAACTGAAGAGGAGTAACCATGAGGACCGAGGAACTGCATCAGTCAATAGTCATGTCCGAAGAGGAATTAGAATGGAATGATAAGAACAAGTCAAAACTGTGGAATACCATGGACTTTTGAAACCGATGATCAACTAAGAGCTGAAAGTTCCTGGAAAATCACCAAAGACTCATTGTATTGTATTATTATTATATTATCTATATTATTATATATATTATTATATTGTCATTATATTATATGGTATATATAGAGAGGGTGCTTTTTGTTAGCTGTTGCCACTCATTGAGGTGATGGCCCAACTCTCAGTTGCTAATAAAGCAAGCCTAGAGGGAGGTAGAGTCTAGGGAAATCCTTTAACTTACACTCCTATGTAATTTAACCCAAACCAAAACATGTTAAGTACTTAGCTGTAACCAGGGGTAAAAATGTCTGTTCTCAGTTTAAAGTTCCCTTTTGACTTCACATTAGGTATTATAAAAGCAGGATTTACCGCATTAAAATATTAGTAAGTATATAAGTATTTACATTAATATCAGAAAGAGTTATACTTGTACATATCTATAAGCATAGAAGTTTTAGCCAGCTGCAGATTTTTATGATACTGTGAGATAAGAGGTAATGTCCTGTTGCTAGTGAAGTTGATAAAATCCATAACTCTTGACATTGTTGGATCTGGTTTGTCATGCTACAGCTACTCGAAACTAAATCATCTTCAAACCCATTTATGGCTGTCTTCACCTTCCTACTGGCAAATCAGTAGAAGTACAATGTGAAAACATTCCACTACAGTAGAAAAAATTTACTTTTGCTTTTAACAAGCTTCATAAGCATAAAATGAGTGACTCTAAAAAGTAGCTTTCAAGAGCAAATATCTTCTGGGAAACATACAAACAGGCTTTTATAAAAACACACCCCTGACTTTGTACCCAACAGCACTGACATTTTAATTCATAATTGGTCTTTTCTTTCATGCTTTCTAGATACACCTGTGGTTAGTCCATCTGAACACTCCATGCAAATTTATTCCAGGCCTCACCTCAGTCCTAGACCTATCCTGTAGTACTTGATGGTCAAAGAAGTCCATCTGTATTTCACAGCTCACATGCTGAGAGAAAGGGCAGTTTTAAGGTACAACTCACTGACTTAGCAATGCAAGTCATACCTAAGAAGCAACAAAGTCTGGCTGAAGTGGAAGCACCAGACATCCCCACAGAATATTTTAACTTCACTGGGTCTGGCAGAGACATTTACAGCCTGCAGAACAGCATGCCCAGCACTCTAAATCACAGCCAAAATATTACAGATCTGTTGAACTGGAGTTAGAGGTGCAACACCTCAATCTTTCATAGCAGAGCAAAGTCAGTGACTGCAACTCATTTATTAGAATCATTACACTCAAATGAGCCAAGCATAACTCACTGATCATAACTCATTGATCATAAACTTAAGTGATTTTACAAATGGAATTGGTTTCACAGCAGCAAGAGTTCTACAGTCAAATTAGTTGCACTGGCAAGAGATAGAATCTGTATCTTTTGAGATTTTAAAAATCCACACTTTAAATTAATGGAACATGAAAACCCTATGCTGTTGAAGATTAACCACTAGCAATACTGATATCTGAGGCATCTCTGTACCAAGAGTGCATGTACCAGAAAAAGAAATGGACCCTACCTTAAGTTTCCCACTAGATAAAAAACACAGCATAAATACTGTGCAATTACATCCTTAAAATATCATACCAGTACTTTGCAAAGGAGTTCTAACTGATACCGTCCAATTGAGAGGTTTTAATCAGTTTTTCCATTTGTCCTAGAAATTACTTATAAATTATTATGTGTCAACTGGGAACTACATATCTACTTCAGGAAGAGGCTTACCTTGCCTTTTCTTCATGCTTTAACTCCTGTAATACTGCAAAGCTGACCAACACCTGCTGGTTAACAAGTACCCTAGCTTATATGGTTTCTCCAAGCAGATTCACTACTGCAAAGAAACTGTCACTTTGTGTTGATTTGGGGGAACAGATTGCTATGAGTTGTTTTTACTTGTGATTTTAATAAAGAAAAGAATCTCATTCCCACTACAAAATAGCCATTAGAACACAATACTCGATAGCACGAACTTACTAATCTTTGCTTTTACTGAGCTCATCACATGAGCTTTAACATACTTTATCAAGAAGTTGCCATTCTAGATACTTCTACAACTCATGCAAACTTACTGTGTGTAATCTTAGGCATTCAACACAACGTAACTGGAAGAAAAAAAAAACTCACCAGGCAGGAGTACCTCATACTCCACAAAAGTGACATCAGACACATTCCCTCCACTTGCCTGCTTGAACTCCTTTGTTGCAAGATCTGGACCTAAGCAAGTTGTGGGGGAAGCAAAGCGATATACTATGATCCTATAATCACACAGCATAGTGTCAATATGGTATTGCAATTGGTTTTCATAGTAATCTTAGTGGAAAAAAGGATCTTGCCAAATGCTGACTACTATGGAGATCCTTTCATATACCTTAAATGTTAACAGCCAGAATCTTAATGCAGCAGTATTGTGTCATCGCTACTGTAGTAGTTATGTCATTTTAGAAGATAGTTTCTAGCTTTAATATAACGTTATAATTGGAAATGTCCATACTCTAAATAGATCATAACTATAATTCAGTGATTAGAAGAGTCACCTATAGCTTACAGGTGGGTCCTAAAACTGTATAGGACTACATTAGTGTTTTAAGTAGCGCTTGAAAAAGTAGTAAGCTTTAGTAAAATAAAAAAGAATAAACAGAAGGACAAAACACTGCCATTCTCAAAGCTACTACAATTTAACAACACAGCCAGAAAGCCAGAGGTAGACTATCTAATCTAGATGCAACTCTAATGAATACAGAGGCAAGAATGCCCTGTGCTCCACTGGAACATGGTCAGAGTCCCACACTTCTCCACAAAACTCCTGTTATGCTGCAGGGAATACCCTTCTGCACACAAAGAATATCAATACTGACCATCATCTGCCTGACTACAATACAATCCTTTCTTTCTGTGAGGTAAAACTACATTTAAAGGGTTCAATGTGGCCAAAAAATCCTTTTCTGTATGGCTATGGATAGCATACTATTCAAAGACTACCTCTATAAAGCTCTACAAAGCTTGACACAGCTATCAGGCAGGCAACTGTAAGCATAAACAGTCTTTTCCTACCACTGTACTTGTTCTCATGCTTTATGCATTTCAAGAATAGAGGAAGAAAGCCAGTTAATAAGCTACAGCTTTAACAATGGATGTCGCCCAGCTAAAGACGCATCACCCACATCTATACACATCATTACTTCATTAGTATTGTACTATCTGCATACAAGGTCCTAGTAACCTGAAGTATGCTATAGGGGAAGACGCTGGAAATTATGCTTCAAGGAAAGGTCTATTCAATAGTTATAGCAATTTTTTCAGTTCCTACAGTTACTTTCTTTACAACTTTAAACACCAAATTGTTTATCTTAATTAATCACCATAAATCCTCCATAACAGCTTAACTAAAGAATATAAAGGTAAAACCTTAGATAACCAAAATTTAACAATTTAAGTGGAAGACAGCATGTGATCACTTTTACCAGATGTAGAGATATTATGCCCAAGTGTCAAATGATCTGAAAGGTTCCCCTGAGTTTGCTGGTTGACAGTTTGTGTAGTTGTCATGTGCTCTGAAAGGTGAAAAAACAAACCTGTTACAGAAAATTTTTTTTTTTCAATTTAGTAGTATAAGAAAGATATTTCCACCACCCACCACCACTCTATATATAATACACTTAATGTTTTAAGACATGTTTTACATGCTAGCAAAGTAATTCTATTGTCAGTTATTTTATAATGCATTTCAGAAACACATAAACAGTAATTACAAAGTGAATCTGCTTTATCATACATCATTATAGGAGGAAACCATTCTAGTTTTTGTAGAAGGAATTCTCTCCTGTCCATGGATTGAAAAATTTCCAATTCACAATCAGGAAAAAATAAATTGGGCTACAGCATCAGTCTTCTCAACAACAGAAGCACTGGGTGGCAAAGTTGATCACAGAGCAGTAGAAACAGTATCTCTGAAGGCCTAAATCTTCTCAGAATTACTCCTCTTTTCCTGCATAAAATACTGAACTTTGAAGTAAAGTTCTTAAACACATGCCTTTCAGGTACAGTTGAGAGACTCTGGCTATACTGAAGGAGGTCCCTGCTACTGGTTTACTTCTAGAGGTCTCTGAGCAAGCATAAGCAGAGGTACCACATGCCTTCCAAGTTATTGGCCTGTTCCGTAAAGCAGTGGTTATTTTAACATGTTAGCTCACAACACAAGGAATGCTATGCCACAGGCAATCAGCCTTTTGCCTGGCTTGTTCCATCTGCACTTTCATACCTTCTGTTATCCTTCAACCAGTTTAAGTAAAAATAAACCTATATATTAAGGTGGACAATGTGGAAGAACATAGCTTCAGGCTAGTTAGTTTGGTGGTAGTTCACAGTAGACTGGTCAACCTTAACTACTAGTCCAAAATTGCTTTTTAAGCAAAAAAATTAAAGCTGTTTCCCAGCACTAGACAGTAAGTCTTGTTCCTCTAGACAAGAGCATAAGCAAGCCTTGATCTCCACCTGATGGAAAACCAAACTAGTCCAAGTATTTACCCCTGAAATTTCATGTGAAGGGCTTAAAGTGATCTGGAGAATCTTCCTTTGTGTGCAAACACCTTGACAGCATGCCAAGGTTGTCATGGATCACCAGAGTTTACATCAGTCTAGTACATGCATCACCTGTTTTTTTACTGAAATCCCTCATCATGATGCATTCAAAAGCCACCAATGACAGTTCATAGGGTAGTTGTTATCCATCCACAAAAAAATAGAGGACCTTTAAAATGTCTTGCACACTAATAAGATCCTCATACTGACTCTCTTCCTCAATTCACATATTAAATGAAAATAGTCAGGTGAAGTCATATTATAAAAAATAGCTTGTATATTTTAGTTCAAATATATGTGTGAGTTTTTATATAAAAAGAGTTATTGAATCTATTATTTGAATTTTTGAAATTGAAGCTATTGCACTCTAGTTCTCACATTGTGCTAAAAAGCTCAAGTAAATAGCATTATAATCTCCAATGACAAAATTGTAGACAAAATAACTTGTCAGAACTTGCTTGAGTTCATGTATAAATATAACTCAGCTCATGTTTGATTTGCACTAATCAACATGAGCTTTGGTACACTGCTGAATTCCTGCCTCTGATCCTTATGGAGAAAGGACAGGTAGAATCACCATTCACTGGTTTCTTCTGCATGGAACTTATTCTCTAGTCCCTATCAAAACGATGACTAAGGTCCAGAATATGGTAAATAAATTGTGGGGACAACAGAACGTTTTGACACATCCAAAATTTAAAAAAGATAGAGCTAGCAGACACAGTGATGCAAGGGCATTATTATATCTCTCACTAATACATGAACATGAGGAGGAGCCTTCACACTACGAGTTATAAGTACTAGAACAGAACCTTCCACAATGGTTCTAGTTTGGGATTTGTCCTCTCTCCAGTGTCACTGCCTGCTTTTATGGCATATATGCATAAAGACAACAGGTCACACAACTGTTACTTGCATAGCTTTTTTCAGTCCTTGGGATGCTTACAACATCTGTCATAAGCAGTCCTTGGGATGCCTGTGACACTTGAGCTCCTGTGGTGGCTTTAAAAGGCCTAGATTATGTACTTACCTCTGTTCCATCTGAAAAGTCACAATCTTATTTCAAGACTTTAATATGAAAATGTAAAGTCTACATGGTAACTCAGTATTCCTAAGAAAAAGTATTATAGATTTAGGTGTACTGAAATAAAACAATTACCAGGAGATGACTCAAGTCCAGCTTGCATCTTAGTCAAAAGGTTTGCCTGTGATTTACTGACATCTTGTGTTGTCACAGTTGGATCTAAAAAGAAAAAAGGGTTTAAAGAAACTTTATTCTCTCTCAACTGAACTTAGAAGTATCTAGTTCATTAAAATAATTCAAACAGAATCTCCTCACCTCAGCCTACTACTGCCATTTTTCCTCAAGTTCTGAGCACACACAACCAAATGTACAAGATCTACTTTTCATTAGTTCTTTAGCTTACTTTTGGCAAGAGAAGATTAAAGAACAGAGGCAGTATTATTTGACCTCTAATTTCCGTATACAGATATTTTCCTGTAGTCATACAAAGCCAATCATCAGAATAATCCAGCAGACCAATAAACTTTAACCTGTACACAAATCCTGTCTTGTTTGTGGTCTTACGCCACCACCGCTTATGACGTTATTTTGAAATATAGATTAGTAGATTCACTAATAAAGTAAGGACCTCATTACAACCTTACATGTCTACCCTGTTTTGCGATGCAGTGAACAACCTTCTTTCCTATGACCACCTTGGTGAGCAAAACAAAATTTTGTGTATGGGTCAAACATTGACTTCAAGTAATAATAGTAATTACTATTTCCACTTTCCTTAACACCATTGCAAATCTAATTCTGCTCCTATAATACACTTTTTGCAAAAGACAGGCAAGACTCTAGGGGTTTGCTTTATGTTCTTGACTGGAAAAAGGACAGCAGGATAAGAGGCAGACTTGCTTAGTTTGAATATGTTGCTGTGTCACTCTTCTATTAAGAATTCAAGGTCCCTAGATGTTTTATAAAAAATGGAGATGTTTGCTACTTCCCTTCTGTTCCCACATTTGGGTGGCAGAACTAGTCAGTATACAGTAAATACCTGATCTTCACATGCCATATCTTCTATTGCCATAGCAGTACAATGCACTTCCTCAGACTCAGATCACTCTCACATTAGTAGGTTAAGGGATTTGGCCAGTAGTTGCAGAGGGAAAAAAGGACATGTGTTTTGCAGTTGTAATTAAAGTCTGGGAGAGGTAATCAACTCTGCTGGACATCTAATACAGCAACAAGCACAGATGAAAAGTGAGAAGCCACATCACAGTTTGTGTTCAAACTTGTTGAGAACTGTGTGCCTTACACAGGAAGTAAAGTCAGCATCCTGGCAGTTCCCACAAGTGAACACCACCACTAACACTCCCCCTTTTCATCACTATAGGCATATACAACCTACAGACTCTCCCACTGGCACCTCCAGCACACAGCTACTCCAGACTGGATCAGAGTCACGCCCAGTTTGCACCATCTGCTTTCTCAATCTGTCTATTATACTTCAACCAGTTCAGATCAAGAGTAAAACAAGGTAATCAGAGGATATGATTAAAAAATTAAGCATTAGTGGTTCTTAACAACAGCCTCATAGTTTTTCATACCAGTCCACTGGTCCCACAGCAAAGTGTTCCCTCCCAGCCCTTCACCCAAGCAAAGAACTTAAGACATCTGCTCTGCATACCTGCTGGCTTATGATCCAGTAAGTGAGAAGACTGAGCCTTATTCTCTGCTTGACAGAGGTGCTGAGATTAGAAAGAGCTATTATGCTTCTGATATTCATGGTAAGGTTAAAGAAAGGTCCATGAATTTTTATATATGCAGCATCTTGAGGCAATCTAAGGATGTCATGGATCACCTGATTGTGCCAGGCTAGTAGATGCATCACCTGCACAGTAATTAAAATCCCCAAAGTTGATAAATGTAGAAGGTGCTAGTGCCAAACCACAGAGGAGCTCTGTTATCTATCTGCAAGGAAGGCAGATAACCTGCAACATAATTTGCATACTAAGAGGGTTCTCATCCAGGCTTTCTTCCTTGGTTCACAAGCTCTTCTCTCACAGACACCTGCTAAATAGCATCAGAGATCGAAATGACCCAGCACTGCATGGTTAATGTCATCAAGTCATGCAGTGAGGTAAGCAAGTCAAGTGGAATAACTTCTCAAACTGTTGAGTCATGGCATGCTTTAGCCTATAATTGATATGCATTAGATTTGATCAATCGTGTGGTAGCTTGCCAAATTCTTGTTGCCCTGATTTTTATGCTGAAAGGAGTAGGTGAGAGTATGAGGTCATTAATTTATTTTTTTCTACCTTACCTCTGCTCCCTACAGAAGCAAATATTCAGGGAATGAAGTATGGATGTACCATACGTGCCATCACTAAAGCAATTTCAGGCTTTAAAAATGTATCTGCTCTCTTCTTCAGCCATAAAAGTGGCTGAATACAATTTGGTTTAATTTAACATATTAATTTAATGTTTAATTTAATGTCAATTAATAATAATTTTATACTCTGTACAAGCACACATGCATTCAGCAGCATCCAAAATCAGCTGCCAGAGTGTCCCTAAAAAAAAGGGAAAAGCTGCAGGTTGAGCTCTCCTGAGGATACACACGAAGGACTTCCAAACGCCCTGACAGACGCGTATACACTGTTTCTGGCCTTCACTAGAAGATGGTATCAGCTCTCCTTCCTCCAAGGGAGCATGAACTTCCTCTTACTGAACCTGTGCAGATAGTCCCTGTGCTTGACCAGGTTTTCACACATGTGGTTAATACCCAGTAGAAGAGTAAAATACTCTTCCTTCACATTTAAATCATCATGGAAATCACAGTACGAAGCCTTCACCCCTAGTTCATACAAATAAAGCATTTAATAAAAGTCTAAACCAAAAGCCTCACTTTACACAGATAAAGGGTACTAAAACAGGTAGCTCATTTATGATGTCTGCTCAAAAGCAGACATTAATATTCATCACTTTAGGAAGACTGTAGATTTGTGGAAATTTTGGAAATATGAATATGGTTTTGTTGATGTTTAAGTTGCTTTGTGAGGTTTGAGGTTTTTTTAAATATATCTATCACCAAGGGCTTTACATAAACTTAGAATTGCTTCAACCACCATTAGGTACAGTTTTCAGTAGTTATACAGTAGTAGTTATCAAAATAAATACCATGTGGCTAACTTGCCAAAATGTGACTCACACATTTCTACAAATATCAGGGCATTTAAAGCCAAAAAGCTTCTTTGCCAATGAAATAAACTGTTAGAAAGGACTTCAAGTTTTATATGCATGTATAAAAAGACACATACATATTTTAAAGAAGCTTTAAGAACTACAGCAGATTTTCCTCTGTGTGCATACATAAATATATGGATTTTAAACAGGCCCTGAGAACTGGTAAAGACTTTTTCCGTCCTCTCACATTATGTGAAACTATTACAAATTTTACAGAAGCTATGTACTACTACAGGAGAAGTACTGGTCCTTTCAGTATTATGAAGACCAACAGAGGCATGAACAAACCTGTAACTACTTACATGTCACACTGAAAATGCAGTTAAACCACTGATGGCTTAAGTCACAGCCATAATATTCACATACGCATACTGCCAGAACTTTCTGCCTTAGCAAGTCATACTCCAACAATATCATATTGCTCAGCAATCGTCAGCAGTCCGTTATTTCTTCCCATTACCATTCTGCACTACCATCCTGCAATGCTTCAAAGACAGGGGTTAACAACAGAAATCCACTAGCTTTAGAAACAAGCTCCCATTTCTTTAGAAGTGGCTTGCCTGCTCCTGAATTGCTTAAGATCACTAGAGGAAGAATAGGGCCCAAAAAGCTCAAGTCCATCCTCCTTCATGGGTTTTAAATGCTGTACTTAAAAATGCAATATAAAATCGTCCGAGGTACATTTCTCACAGCCAGCTAGGCATACTAATATTTTTAATAACGTAACTTACCAATTTGAGTTTTTTTCAGGAGTTAAACAATGTTTTATTTGATAAGGATAGGGCAGCAACAAAACACTATACCTCAACCTCCAAGTCCTGTACCTGTGAACTAATAAATCCTCCCGTTATTGAGGCAGAGGCGTTAAACCACAAGACTGAACATCACTGGATGCGGTTCAGCGCCGCAGCCAGCGTATCTGCTGCCCACCAGCACACACACACACACACGGGGAGGCACCGCTAACGGCCACGTAACCAGTCATTAGCGGACAGCAAAAAAGGGATTCCTACCTTCCAGCAGGCCCACGAAACACCCGAACGCTTTTTTGAAGCGGAAGGCGAGAGATGACGGGGAGGCAGGGGTGGCAGCTGCCCCTGCAGAGGGTGTCGGGGAGGAGGCAGAGCCGGGAGTTACGGGGTCGGGGCCGCCGAGGGAACAGACGCCTCAGCTGTTTCAGCAGGCAGGGCCGAGAGGCAGCCGCCTTGCTGGGCCAGCGCTTCGTACCCCCCGGGGAGCCAGGCGGGATGCTTCGGAGCAGGAAGGACCCCTGCCCTCCTCGCCCCAGTCCAGCCCGACGCTGAGGGACGTGGGACGAGGGAGCATTTACCTGCGGGGCTCCCGCCCGAAAGGGAGAAGCTGAGGCAGAGCAGCAGCCGCAGTCCCAGGCGCTTCTTGGAGAAGGCGGCAGGCATGGTGCCCCCGCCGCGCTCCCGCTGCCGGTCCCCCGGCGGCGCGCAGGCAGGCGGCTCGGCTCGGCCACGCACCGCCCGCGGAGGAAGCTCTGCGGGAGAGCCAGCTGCTGCCACGGGAATCAAAATCAACCAGGGCGAACGCCAGGCAACAACCAGCAAAAAAGGGCAAGAGCCGCCGCAGGTAGCCCGCTCCCTCAGGAGGAGGATATATAACGGGCGGCGCGGCCCCGCCGCGCTTTGTGAGGCGGGAAGAAGCAGGGCGTGGGTGAGCACCGGTGGCTGGTTGGAGAGGAGCCTCTGCAGCTGATCCGGCTCGGAGCCCCGCTGGGGAGAGCTGGAGGCTGGCAGAGCTCGTAGGAGATGGAGTCCTGTCGTATTCTGGGCCGAAAGCGGTTGTTGCTGCAGGACCACCTCAGCTCTCAGCTCGCCCAACTGTCGGAGGCAGCTACCGCGGGTAGGGTTTGCCAGGAGGAGGCTGCCTAGGGCAGAGCAGAGTCTGCCCTTTGCCTGGTGATGTGTAGAACCCAGCTTTGAGGGTCAGTGGCTCCAGGGCAACTGGGTTATACTGTATGAGAGCTGAAGCTTCTCACTTGTTCTAAATCTCCGGGCTTGGGCAGCGATGGCTGAGGAGAACCGTTTCTAACATGCTTCTCAGGACTTCTGACTGACACTTGGTGCCTTTAAAATTGCAATTTAATTATTTAGACTGTTTTAATCTGTATATGTGCATGTACATATATAGTAAAACCATTCATATATACGCATTTCTTGATAAATAGCTGTTAGGATTTTACACCATAAAATCTGTCAGGGTGGCATCCTTTAAAGGAGAGTCTCCATTACGGGGTACTTGCTGTTTCTTACCAAGATACGGTTACTTCAGCTAATGCAAAAGTTGAATTCTGCATAATGTTTGTAGCAATAATGCAAAAGGCTTACGGCAACTAAGCCTTTACATCATTTTAGCTCTCCCATTGGCAGAGCTGTAGGAGTTCATGCAGAGCAGAAGTCAAATGCCCTGTGTCTTGATTTTCCAGCATTGAACATGTTGATGCTGCCATGCATGTCCTCCAATACCAGTACAGTGTTCCTCAGATTAAAATTTTCCATTATAAAATCTCCTATTAAATATAACTAACAGCAAGAGACTGGGAAGAGGATTGTTTTGTTAAGCCTTTGCTGCATGTTACAGGAAGACTCAAGATTACTGTCTAAATGGGACCATGTGTATATAGGAGCCTTTTCTGTTGAAAGAATGAACACCCTTCATATACTTGAAGCCATGGAATGGACCCTTCTGTACTCCATCTCTAAGGTTATTTAGCTGATGTACAAAAAGTAGGAAGTTATATATATGGGTAGCCAATGCACCCATAGTTGTCTAAAAAGCTGTGAATCCACTGCTTTTGGAATTTATTTGTGACCTATATTTCTGTGGTGTTGTGTGATAGACCAGTGTCCTCTAAAGAGAGATAGAGTTCTGTTAATCTGTCAGGCTGCTACAAGTGCACAGAGCAGTGGGATTCAGAGAGAATCCAGTTCACAAAAGGATGTTTAGGAATGGCAGATCTTCAGTTTTTAATGGGAAAAAAAAAAAATGGCTGGAGCATAAAAGCTGAACCAGCTAGGCTTGAAGGGACTTATCTCTTGGGGAGGTAGGGGGAAGGAAGAGGAAAAAAAAGTTATTTTGACTGCCTTTAGGTATGAAGGGGCTGGTTTGTAGTTCCAGTTAGCTCTCCTTGAAACGGGTGAAAAGAGGAACTTTTATTCACCTGATTTAGGAGTGGGGTATGCAGCACCATTTGGTGAGGCAGATTTTATCCACCTCAAAACCATATAGATTAGTTAGTGTGGGGCAAGTCTAGGTAGAAATCTATGGCTAATCTCTGCTAGCTGGCAAGAATGGAGCTGCCAGCATAGTCTGATCTAGGATCTAGCTGTAGCTTTAGAACTTCTTGCTTAGTGGAAATTGTCAAGGCTCTGATGATATGTTTTGAGTGACTTGGGTTTGTCCTGTATAGGACTGGCTTCTGTCTCTCCCACCAAGTAATTTTGGGTGGAGCATCAAAGCAGTCTGAAAACATGACGACCTTGGCAGGATTCCTTAGAAACTCTTTTTCAGGGCTTGTCTCTTAATGGTACAACCCACACTTACCTAATGCTGAATGGGAGGAAAACAAACATTAAACTGCCCCTGAGGGACCTGTTGTTTGCTATGCTCATATTACGGAGATACAGAAGCTATGAACCAGGAAGGGGGAAAGGCAAAGAGGAAGCAGAATTTGGAAGAACCAGTTAAGCAAAGAACCAAATAGCCCTTGAGGGGTTTCAGTACTCCAGAGCTTGCTTTACCATAATAATATGCTAGTACTAGATTATTCCCCAAGTACTACTGCTGGATTTGGTAATCGTTAAAAGAGTAGAAGTGAGAGATTCCAGAAATTACAAGGCTAGTGATAACAAACTGTGAGAAAGTAGAATATTTGGGATATTGTCACATTTGCTTGCATTTGGAAGCACTATCTGATGAGTAATTAGGAGTTTCAGGAAAAGTATCTCTATTTAAATTTTGAATAGTAAAACTAGTTTGCTCCATCTATTAACATCCAGCATATTTTCCTCTTCTCTCTTGAGCTAATTCTTTTCCCTCACTTCTAGAGAGAAACTTTGATTTATTCTCACATGGTAATTACTTGGCAAATCTGACGGTCATTTTGAACAAGGATTCATATGTTGAACTATAGTCTGGTTTGTAAGAAAACTTTTATTTTTAATAAAACCTCTGATATGGAGAAATTGCTGGTTTATTCAGCTGGAAGTTCTTTGCCAAAATTTTTGTGACGGAAGGAAAGTAAATGAAACTTTGAAAACTGCTGCGACATGCTGGTTGAAGAAGAACCTGAATTATAATTTGTACTTTTACCGCTCCTTTTCTCCAATAACCAAGTCTGTGTTCTCAAAGCCCAGTCTTTGGCATTCATTTATTTCTGTTAATAACTAAAACAGTAAAATAACCAAAGGCCATACCTGATCCAGTGGTTTCCTTGGCTGGAGGTTTGCTTTTTATAAAATTCACTCAAATTTTGAAAGGTAACTAACACATATGCGAGAAGAACTGAGAAGAAAAAGTCAAAAGGGACTGAAAACCTCTTGAGATAGCAGTTCAGGTATGTTTCAGGAATAGTGCTCAGCAGCTTCCAGCACCTGAAGCTGAATCATCCAGACCTTATTAGACTCTAGCTAGCTTTTTCTAACATTCAATAAACTTTAATGAAGAGATGTTTGTTAATGGGTGTGAAATTATTATTTGGAAAAGCAGGAAAATAAACAGTGGGAAGTAGGAGAAACAGGTTAGAATTTCTTCAGAAATAAAGTCTTGTAAGCATGACCAGGAGATAATTCTGTGAGGCCAGGAGGTAATGTGTTACTAATCTGTGGACTGCTATCAAAATATGTGCCAGAGTAGATGCTATACAACATGTCCATGGGTTCCCCATTCTACAGTAACAGTCAAAATAAAAACAGTTTATTCAACAGTTACAATAAAGCATTCAATGTTTATAATAAAATTAAAAAAAAAAAATGCAGAAGGCATGTGTTTCTGAAAGCCAAAGCAATATAATGAATGGTAGTACAAGGCTACAGAATGGAATTTTATTGTCTTCACCAAACATTTATCTTTCGCTTGCTGTCTTTGAAGGATTTAACTAAAACTGACCTCTTGGCTGGATATAAAATTACAGGCCAGATTATGCAATCTGCATACTCTGCAATTGTCTACTCTGCAGTTGCCTACTCTGCAATGTCTGCATCCTTCTGAGTGGCTTTAAATCCTAGTATCTCATGTCACCTCCTCGAAGGCAATTTGCAAGACTAATCACATAATCTCTATTGATAATTCTGCCATTTATCAAATGCCTAATGTCATGTTCTATGATCTGAGCTGCAGATGAAACAAAAATGGGGGCTGTAGTGCTGTAGAAACCTGTTTCTTAAAAACCTTAGGTTGCTGCCAGTACCAATTACTGAGATTAGCAATACTGATCAGACAGGATACAGTATCAATTGTTATTGTGTGGGGCCTGATTTTGTGTGGGGTTGCAGATTATGTGGTATGGCTCTGCTCAGAAGAGTCTTTGTTCACATGGCAAACACACTGTCATCAGAAACTGGCAAGCAGAAAGACAAGTAAGATTTTTAGCAAACAGTTCTTTTTGCCTTTCTACTGAAAGCGTGAATGAAATTGGCAATTTTAAATGGAAAATACAATTAAAAAGCAGTATTTTGTTTAAAACACAATTTAGATTGAAAATTTACGTACAGCCATATAAAGAGTTTTCTGTAGTCTGTTAGTTTAATGTAGAAATAAAGTTCACTGTGATACCAATTCATAACACCACATCTTGCAAGTTGCTGCTTCAAAATGTGCAGAAAATATTTTAAATGTCTTAAGCAAGACCAGACTTTGAGGAAGGTACTATCTTCCGTTACAGTAATGTACCTGGAAAAAGTAAGCCAGCCTCTGATCTGAATACAATTTGAAAACAATTATTCTGTATAATTGTAATTATCCAGGCATGCAGTCTCTCCTATTGCTTAAGTATCAGGAAGAAGATCACCTTCAATGTCTTTCTTTTTCATGAATTCTCCATTTTCCAACCTTTCAGACTCTTAAAAATAGCTTCTCTTTTGTTGCAAAGATAAAAAATCATGACAGGCCTTGTATATAATAAACTGCATAAGAAAGTCTTCATTCTACAGCTGTACTTAGTCAATTATTAGCAGCAATAAGTGGGAGCACTAAATTGTCTGGTGAAACAGGTCTTGTTTACAACATTGAAACAGGGCTTATGTGAGGCTCCTGCTCTGGGCGAAGTAATGGGTGTGCTGCACACGATAATGCTTTTCTGTTTTTTTGTGGGTGTGGAGAGAGACTATCTCATTCAACTGACCTGTTTTGTTTTTTTTTTCAGGTAGTTGACACAAACCTAGTTTATCTGATTTTTTTTTTTTTTGAGTTGGAAATACATAATGCTGAAGATAAGATCTGAATATAAAACAGAATAAAATAAGTAACAAATGGTCTAAGCCTTATTGATTATATTCCTGATGGAGGGGAGCCA